ACACAAATTAGTTAGCATAAATCAGTTAAATGACGAAAAACTAGGTGTCTATTTACTTGTGACCACTCAGTGTATGTTTTGCATAATTGCATTTTAAGAAATAATCGTTATTGTATTTTAGTTTTTGTTTTCTTCACATTTGTTTCATCAGCTTGAGCATCAATCAAAATAAATAATATATGTATTTATTCATTTCGTTTGTTTATATACACCGTAAATATTTTTAAATCTATCAAAAATTTAACAATTTTAAACCAACATTTAAGCAGTCAAGAACATGTAGTATCTTTAATAACACAAACAAAATAAAAGTGATTTGGATTCAGAGATACTCATTTTAAAAGTGCAATGTATAAAAACCTATGTCAAAAATACAAGTTAATAGCAGAAATCTGACAAAATCATTTGTTCATTAATACATATACAACTGACCAATGCGCTATTTAAATTACACATAATTAAAATCCAAAGTTTTTCTGTAGCCATAACTGAATTGAATCCGAAAAGAAAATTAAACATATAATCCCTAATAGCCAAAAAAGTAAGAGAATAGCGGCAGATGGCATTATACAGAGTGATTTAGATTTCTACTGACAGATATAAAATTTCGAAATTGTTAGTGCTATGGAATGAGGTACTGTAAGCTTACCCTGTGACATTACCACAAAGATTATTCAAAGTTCATGTCCTTTGTAAATGTTATTAATATGTATCGTATGCCGAAATTTCAACAACAAAGGTATGGACAGTAACAAAGCAAACATTTTAAATAAAAAACTATCCACAATTGCTCCTCAAGAACAAGAGTGGTAGACATAATTACTCCTTCCGTGCGTATAGAGTTACGCCACAGGGGATCAAAATCAAAGGTTGTTACACAAACCAAGGCCTGAGGTGCAAAATCAGAATTTTGCAAAAAAAGCAGATTATTGCAACTTTAAAATGTCCAAAAGGCTAAAAATATTAAAATAAAAGTCCCCTACATAAGGTAGCACATACGCTTTATTTACTGCCAACTGGTGGACTAGTAACAGCTTGAAATATGATTGAAATCATTTGTGAATAAAATTCAAAAAGGCGATATTTCTATTTATAGAATAGCAACATATGATATATATGTGCAAAATGTTAATGGAGATTAATAGCGGCCAATATATCTACCATTGATTGGTAAAAGAGTAACGTAAAAAATGCATGTATATAGACTATCCATGTAACAAGAATAAATTACTATATGCTTGTAATGCCTACAATTGTTAGAACAGAGACAGTTGATCAACTACTATACATTCATCTATTACTGTATTGTAAAAACTACACCTAGTTGTATATGATATAAGGAATATGTCAGAAAGAGATCGTTCGTTTGTAATTAAGCATAAAGATACACAATGGGCTATCTGTGCTCTGCCCACCACAGGTATCGAAACTTGGTTTCTAGCGTTGTAAGTCCGAATAAAAGTATTGCAATAGACAGTGCTGCTTATTGATTAGTAAAAAAGCCCATAAATGACGAACCGGTTATGTCCAACTATATTCATCAAGTTATCCAGTGGAATTAGAAGTTGTGTGTCTATCGATCTATCTGTTTATTTACCTGTTTTTGCTACCAACTACTGGTAAACGTTTGGTGGAATTCTACTACAGGAATATGAGATTCAGGTTGTTTTAATTAGGAGGCGTTTCAAGTATTACTAATAAAGATAATGAGATTCAAGATGTCTTTGTATATAAATGAAATATGACTACAAATTATAATAGAAAGACAATGAGTGCTAGGACATGACTAACTATCAACCATAGTAAGTTGAAGAATGCGTGTGTGTGTGCGTGTATATTAATCCAAATCGACATACACACACTTACACGCACACACTTTGCATAACAAATTATAATTCACCACCACTACATTTGCACTCATAACATGTTCTGTTAATTTAATTATAAAAACAAACAACAAGCAAAAGTACTCGTCCCCAGTGAAGGGAAGAGTTTAAGTTAATTTACCAATTTAAATTATTTCATGTACTTTAAAAATGTTAATTGTGTTGCACTCTTGGTTTCACTTAGAGCCAAGGCTCCGAGTTACTTATACCGCCCACCGCAGAAAGTGATTGTTGAGCATTTCAGTCATACTAAGAGCTGCTCAACAATAACATACGGTAAAGCTACATTTTTATTCTTTAAGTTATGTCACATTTTGAAATGTGAATAATAGTGTGATTAGTTCATAACAATTTAGTGTAGAATATCCTGATTGCCAAACAAAATTTGTCATCCACATTTTTCATGTCTGTTTTCCGGTCATTTCAAAAGTGAATGTTTAGCTTTGCCTGCGTGCACAGCTTTTCAAACGGGAAACAGACGAACGATCGGACAGACACCACAGTTCGCAATATAAAAAAGATGTTTAAAATGTTTCCTTTCACCCCTCTCTCTATATAAATATAAACATACAATACATGTAAAATGTTACTAAATGTATTGGGCAGCACACTTTGAGAAAGAGTTGTTATATTTTCTGCTTTGGATTTATGTTTTAATATCAATCAGATCCAGTTGGACTCTTTTGGAAACAACATGCTATCAAATGTGGTATATATTTAGTGGAATACTATATTAAGCACAGTAAGATATTGAGCCTCTCCTTTTTGTCTCGTAATTGGCGTTCCAAAATATATTTGACAAGAATATTTCTGAAACAAACTTCTTTGGTTTGTAATGCTGAAGAAGTGAAACGTCTAGGTATAGGATTTTTACAGTTGCTCAGGAGAAACTGAAGTTTTTCAAAAGTTTTGGCATTTTCAGAAAGTTCCTCGGCAACAGGATGGGGATCGAGACTCTTGACTGGGTAAGAAATTATTGTCATAAATTACTGCTGGACACAAATTATGGTATCGCATGAGCTGTTATTATACTGAAAGAGATATCGTATTTTCCATATAATACTATCAAAGGAGACAGCACAGGCATTCACGGCTTTCTTAGCTTTTACCAGTGGACAAGTATAAAACTACTAAAATCAGCGTGGTCTAGTGGTTAGCGAACTGCGCTACGTATTGAAAGGTCTGGGGTTCGAGATGCATTATGCCATTGAATACGTTTTATATTTTATACTTATAAAAACTGCAGCAATCCCGTTATTCGATTCAAACAAGCTGAGAAAACCCTTGGGATGGTGGATATTGCTGGTTGGTTGCTTTTTCTCTGGTCATTAATTCAAAATTTATGGATAGCAATAGCTAAGTCTACAGGTTTCTGATCTTGCCGTTTAGCCCACGTACGCATGAGGTGGAATTCAGGTTGATTATTCCTATTTCAAAGCATTCTCCAGCTTGTTGTTAAACTCAGTTGTGTCATCGAATCAATTTATGGATAGAGGGATTCGTCACTTTATATATGGTAATTCTTCATTATTATCCGTAGCTTGTTTGATGCTCGAGTCACCCTGAGTTCCGACGCCTTGTATACATGACTTTGGTGAGTGGTTTATGGGTTGTGGCCAGTTTGTGAAATCCAACAACATGGAACCGTCTTATTACAGCATACTGTACCAAGTCTTATTTCACAACCTTAATAGTGGGTTTAACGCCAGATGTTCACTTTTTTTTCCTCATATTTCTAGCGAGTGACAGAAGATAATTTTTCATCTAGCGGTCTTTCATGTTATAGCACATTAACTACAATGGATTTGACAAGCCATTAGGCAAGATAAAATTTC